TCTGATATTCTCTTTTGTATTACTTCTGCTGATATATCCCCCTTGAACGGCAAGGCGATGTATACCGACTTCTTTCTAACCTCGGTTTTCTTCAAAATATCCACCGCACTGAATCATCTTGCTAACCAATCGTTCTGGATAGCCATCGTGTGTGAGGACAATACGGAAGAACCGGAGCTCTTCTTCTATTGTATCCTCACTACAAATTTTCCCTGCTCTATCTGCTAGGTAGCGTACCGAATTCCTCTTCACTTTGAGCTGTACAAAGCTGCGAAAATGAATATATTGACCCTTCCAAGTAGCCTTCCTATGCACTGATGGTTGTACCGAGCCATCCGATCTACGACTTAAACAGACGTCTAGAAATGCCAGTTTGTTGTCGTTTTCCACTTCTGAAGTAAATATTATGTTCTGGCGTGCAGCATTGAATTTGTTCAAGAGCTCATTTGTTCCTGATGTTGTGTTGATCACGCACAGAATGTCATCAACATATGGTATACATAACGCACAATCCTGAATGGAAGATTTGAGTTGGTTATTTTTGAGTTTCGTCATGAACATATCGGCAAACAACGCTCCTAGAGTTGATCTCATAGCCACACCATCCTTTTGTCGATAAATCTGTTCGTTGAACTTGACTTGAACGTTGTATGTGCAAAAATAAAGCAGTTGTTTCAGGTCTTCCAAACGAAGGTCTATCTCAACATTGTTATTTTGTACATAACTACACAGGTATTCGATGGTTTCGCTGATTGGAACATTGAAGAGCGAGCTAACGTCCAATGAAAGCATTGTCCTACCCATCAAGTTTAATTCATGAATTCTGTTCACAAAAGTGAATGTGTCTCGTACGCTGTGTTTCGCTAATCCAATTCTTACGGGTTCTAGTAATTTAGCCAACCATTTTGCAAGTGCGTGGTACGGTGAATTGCACATATCCAGAATCGGTGGCAAGAGTACCCCTTCCTTGTGCACCTTCGGCAACCCGTACAGTCTGGGAATCGTTGTCCCAGTTGACCGGATTCTCATCGATTACTCTATTTTGCTTTAAACATATGCCGAGTGGTCCCAACGATCGGAGGACCTAACAATTATGTAATCATTGAGAATTCCAGATCCGGTCCCAAGATTAACTTAGCCCGGATAACCCATGAGGTTATTTTCCCTTTCCCGAAACATTTGTTTGTGTTTCTATGATTGAATACTGATTTATATATAAACAGCGTAATATTTATTGTGAGAATACATTATCATATTTTACTTGGGGTTTTGTTGCTCCTGGCTGACCAAGAAATGCCTCAATATTTATTTGCTATTAAACCTCCGGGAGCATGGATAATCATCTAGTAAAATCCATACAATGCTAGTCTGCTTATATTTTCATATTTAAAAAACCTATTGGCAATGAAAGAAACGAAAAATCTGTAAATTAGGAGAGATACTTACATCCGAGAGCCACATGTCCCCGCGAAAAGATTGAATAGGTGAGTCAAAGATACGAGTTTGCATAATGTATCCCGGAACATTCTTCAGTCCATCGCTCTGCCTACCCGTCGCGGATTTAATGACCGATAATACAGTGAGGATATTGGATCATGTAGTTCATGCAACGGACCGCGATACGTCTAAATAGTTTGTGCATTTGAAAATTCGGATGTTTTCTTTTGTGGTATCATTAACAATTAGTCGCGAAACGAGAGTTCGGACTTCAGCAAACCATCTATCTATTCGTCTACGTGAAGAAAATCATTAAGTGGCGTACTCATGATCCTATGATGCTGCAATAAGTTATGCAGAGCATGTGTAGTGTCAATAATAGTGCATTATCAAACATTGTTAGCTTCAAAATGTGTGAACCGACTGGAAAACAGTTTCAAAGTTGATGCTTCGTTTTTAATGACACAAGAAACTACAGTACTGGCGGATTGTGATGCACTAGAATGTTTTCCTTAAGATCAAATGGAGTTTCGTTATATTTATCACCGGTATCAATACTTTAGTTATGGACAATAATTTATATCTTGTCTACTTCGATCTACGTAGTTTCTAGGCTGCATAAATGTCAGTTAAACTTGCTTGACCTTGAGTGCCAAGATTAAATGATCTGAACATGAAAGCCACAAACTTTATCAAGTGTAACAACGCAATATCTTCTAATAGGAATGACTCAAGAATTATCCCAAATTATTTCCATTAACCTCTGCAATCTGGGTTATTTGTATTGAGGCATTATTTTATCTAATGAATAATCCATTGTAGCAACTCTATTGGATAACCAAAAGAAATTCTATCACAACCCAGAGAAATTGCAATAAATAAAGTCTCATAATAATAATAATATATGTTTGATACTTAACTCACTAAATTCGACAAATACCACTTTAATCTAAGTCAAACTTGAAATCAAGTTCATTTTTGTGCACAGCTTTGAATGTTCCTATTGTTGTCACTATAATAAAGTGAACAGCGCTCCAAACCAAAAGTTCCCATTATCTCAGTGAAGAGGACAGAAACAGAATCACACGAGCATACAAGCTGGGATTTTCGATATCAAATCTTGTCCAATGCTTTAACGTTAACAAAAGCACAACTTACAGGACATTCCATGATAAAACAACTATCAGAATAGCTTGTGGGGGCCGTAAACCGAGTACGTTAAAACAGGGGGACAACCTGATTCGTATTACTATGAAAAACATTGCAGAAACTCATTGTCGTCTATCCAACGGGAGATCTTCCCCGCCATCCATACTCCCTTCTGCAAAGAAAATGAAAAAAATTAAGATGCGTAAGGTTTCCGCTGACGTCAAACCAGCATTGAACGCGCAGCAAACACAGGCGAGGATTGATTTTGCCCGAGAATTCAAATCTCGTCGTGCGTCATTTTGGCGATCGGTTTATTTCGCCGATGAGTGCGCGGTGTGCGTCCAGCCTTGGAAGGTTCACAAAAAATCATTTGTGGTGAGAATTTCCCACAAGGACTTATTCCACCAAATGAAAGAGTTTCTCATCCTTCAAGATTATTCATCTGGGCAGGGATAAAACATGGTCAGCCTTGTCGATGGATATCAGTCAAAGGCACCATGAATAGTGGGAAATTCGTATCAGTAATGATGAAAATGTTTTCAGAATTTTATGAAAAAAATCCTCTGGAAAAGTTATAGTTTTTCAGAATAATGCTCCGTGTCATGTTTCACGGGAGGTTAGTAAATTTGTTTAGTTAAGTTGTCTGGTTCGCTTATTATTTGCTTTTAGACTTCAAAAATGATGCGTGACTCTAAGGTCCAGTTCATGCAACCTCCTCCTAATAGCCCGGACCTCAACGTGCTTGGAAATCTGCTTTCCCTTTTGATGCGAGATGACAATGTGCTACCTGTACACTGAACACTGGAGGTAAAAGTGGAGCATAAAATAGAAAATGATTTCACAACAAAGTTGGTGGATTCGATGCCGAAGAGACTCTAAAAAGTCCTAAAGAACATAGGCGAACCAATTGACTATTAGTGTACACAAACTTTACACCTTACTTATTACCAATGTTAATTTGTTGTCAATAAAAATTGTTTTATTCTCTCAAGTTAGTTTTTAACTCATCATGGTATAGGTCAACCACTACTAACGAAATGGGAGTATCCGCTACATTCTGAACCATTCCATATGCTGAGCATAAACGAATCAGAAAAATCACGTCTATAAAGACTCATCAAGTCTTGTTTATTATTATTTAGAAAAAGAATTTACTTCAGTATAAATGCTGTTGCCTATACGAACCGACAAGTGTTTCACAACGACCCGTTGCTTCAGTTTCCATTAGACCTGTACTCTGTGTTTGATTGAATCGTACACCCTATGTGGCCAAGCACAGAGTGCACTTATTTACGATACTCGGAGAGGGGTTAATGGAATTTTACACCCACTGGAGTACATTTTCTAAGATGTCATTAGATGAAAACGATATTTAAAACCTGCCTGGCTTCTGAATACGGTAATGAGTTCTATCATGATCATACCAAATCTGATCAAGCTGGGTGCATTGATTGCCCAGGAATTGCGGGAAACTGTGATGGAGTTAATAGGATGTCGTTATATCTTCTGCAATAGGATAAGTCAGATCAACGTATCGCAAGGATGAGATTAAAACTGATGTCCCCAGAACGATTCGATCATTTTATTCCACGTCACACCTCTCGGCAATGCACGTCTAAGTGCACCCTGCATGATAGTTGGTAGTTTAATTCTTCTGGAATCTTTTATGTAGTAGATGGAGTTGAACAACGAGTCACGATCCTAATCGTAGCAAAGTTAACTTCAATGAATCACAGTACTATCGTTGGACTCTCGTGGCGTCGGACAAGAAAGGTACTTGCCAAGCAAAAACCCACCACATCCTCGTTCACTGCCACTGCTTATCCATGACCAGCTAGGAGGCCACACAAACACAATGCACATTCACCAAGTTCGGGTGGTAATGCTTTATTTTTAAGCTCAATGTCCGTGTTTGTCAGTTCTGTGCACCCATTCCCAGGAATGATGGGGGTCCTGTTTGGTGAAACCAGTCAGGGATAAGAGAAATTAATTTGGAACCGAATCACTCATTTCCTGAAATACCTTTTCTCCTCTGACTCTAAATCCTCCATACCCTATGAAATATCATAAAAACATATCAGGATCGTTGGTTTACATCGAACAGATACCGTGAATTGTGATACCGTGAATTGTTCCGTTTCTTAAGAGCAACATGCATCTGCGTTTCTCAAAATGAAATGATTATAAAACCTTTATTCTCAAATAGATGTCTAAAAAACTGCACAAAATGATTTCATTATGGAAGTGTGTGTTGAGGAAGATGATGCAGCTTACTACTTAAATTGATCAAAACAAAATAGTCCGAATTTCTCACTCTTTTTTTCATTGAACATTCAGGTAAATATTCGTTCATTGGTAAAACCTTACCTTGTTCTCACTCATGCTCTCATCTTTCCTTCTCTTGACCCCATCCAAATGCAGGTTTTAAACCATTCACTTGTGAAATTTGTGGGAAAGGATTTCACCAGAAAGGAAACTACAAAAATCATAAACTGACACACAGTGCGGAGAAGCAATACAAATGTCACATCTGTCACAAAGCATTCCATCAGATCTACAACCTCAGCTTTCATATGCACACGCATCAAGCACAAAAGCCATTTTTATGTCACTTGTGCGGCAAAGGATTTTGTCGGAACTTCGATCTAAAGAAACATGTGCGTAAATTACACCCGGACTCGGAAGATTGGTTTCAAGGATTACGGGACAACAGCAGACGTTCAGATGAACGACTAGAAGATGCATATATGTCCAACTCTACCAATCGATACCGATCCGGAACCAGTTCTTCAAGCGGTCTAATACCGTCCACGACTCGCCTGCTAAACTCAGCGCATACAAGTCAACCTCAACCTAGTCATATACAGAATCCTGAGGAGCTGGCTCTGCACAATCGTTCCCCTGAGAGCTTTATGGCACGTCGAATTTCGACCGAGGTGACTGACCTAAGAACACCTAGCTCATCGTCTGAAACATGGTTTCCTCAATCCCCACCAAATCCCACATCCGTGTCCAGACCATCACCGCAAGAGCTATCTCCATTCTCACAAATTCCTAAAATATCTGGATTACTGAGGGGATCTAGCCAGGAAGATATGGCACACACAAGATTACGCGAGTATTCGACGGGATGGAACCCAGCACTGATGAAAACGGAACCATCTCAACAGGCATGTGAATTTGAATGGGCATCCATGTTGCAACGTCTGCAAATGTCTTGCACTTGGCGCTCATCTTGTCCTCCCCAAGTTCCACCACCACCGGACCCAAATACCGTACTAACTCAGCAATTACTTGCATTCATTAGTTCTAAAGCGATACCACCAGTACCACTAACCGCGCCAGATAAATTGCAATTCACTGGAAACATGGGATCGTGGCCCCAGTCATTATTGTCATCAGGAATCCCGTTACCACAGCGTGCATCAGCCTTTAATGGGCGTGTATCCACCGCTCAGTCTACCTCACTGTCTCCTTACTCCAATCTTTTATTTCCACCTGTTCGGCCGGCTCTCGATGGAGCGAGTGCTTTATGCCCCTCTAGTTTGGATCGTTTGAATCCTTTGGGTTTACGCAATCCTTCAGTTCGCACTCAACTCCCTTGAAAGTTCAGTTCAGGACTACTTTGTCTGTACAGTATCCACTAGCATATCATCAGCTTACCGTCTGGACTGATGAGTACAGTAGCTGACGTGAACAGCCAATTGGTTCAGCCAAGCACCTTCCCTTTCACGAGCACAATATACTTCCCTCTCCTCCAAAGGACTAAATCAGCACAATTGTCTATCATGATCCCGCGATGAAAATCAATTAAGCATTGACTTTTGTGTACAGAATGAATTTTCCTATGTGATCAGATATCTTCCTTCGGTATTTCATATCAAAACCAATATCGATGCAAGGACGTTTTTTCCATTGATCACATTTCGGTTGATCTGATCACGAAGTACATGCAAAGGCAAAGCGCATGACAAACTAATTAGATTATGTCATCGTTTTAAGGTGGGATGATAGCATATTTGAAATTAGTTTAGTGAGTCAAAGCCCGAGCGATTTTTTGCTCAGCAAACATAAAGCAAAACAAATCAGACATTTTCATGAGATCCAACATGGTGAACTTTACTGACAATTTGTACCCAATGAATTTCGCCCAGTCATTAATGAAAACGGTCGTTGCCACTGGCGTGTCTAGGTCCCTAAGTTCACTATTCCAACCCTACCACCGCCACTCAACTTCATTGTCATCTGAGCCAATGCGACATCTATCAATTTGAACGGACTCTTATGCCATTCGGTAGCGCAGGCCTCAGGGCTTCGTTTGCCAGTTCCCGTAACCAAACAGTAGGTTCTCGTGGTCAGATAATTCATGTTCCCTACGGTTCATAAGCCTAGAGTGGATCATAAAACTGATAACAGGCACACTGCAACCACTTTCATCACAAGATGAAAATCACCATGATGTTTGCGGCAGCACCAGATGTTTTGTCCAAGGCACACGTTCCAAGTCAATCCCGTGTCAAAGAAACAGTGTTGAATCTCGTTTTCAATTATTTATCCCTTGTAGATAAGAAATCATGGTTCATATAATGATAATTAGTGGGAGGCTGATTGATTACGAACAGATAAAGCTTTTCTCAGGTGTTCCTATACTGGGTATATTGCGTTGTAGAAC